ACATTTTCTGTAGTTATAGCAAATTCATTCGCTCATTCATCCAATTAGTCGTGCAGTTTTTCGTTCATTTTTAAATCGTATATTTTGAGTATACTGTATGTACTTCACAGACTTGTAATTTTAGTTTGGGTGCGACAATTCCTCTAGTTTCTAACGAGGACGACTCTTCCAAAACACAGGTATTTCATGCAATAACGTTCTTTTTAATCAGACTGTTTCTACATGTTCTTCAAATATTCAGGCCAAGATGGAATCAACTGCCGACGTTAATCTAAACGAGGAGGAAGAAGAAGAGCCTGAAAGTGATCTAGGTATGCTAATATGATTAATCAAAAGACTATCATTTTCATGCGTCATTTTCACAGACATAGACGATTCGGGAGTGATTAAGGACGAACCTAAGGAAGAACTGCCTATGGGTGACGAAGAAAAGGAGGTGAGCGCAGTATACAAAATTTTTTTTCTTCGCTTTGTGAACGCTGTTTTCTGATGGTAGATTACCGAAGAGGACATTGAAAAATCGAACGAAAAGCGCTCAGCTGCTGCCGCAGCTTTCGAAGAAGGTACAGGAGGTCTTCGACTTCAACTCTGGCAGTTGAATCTTTGTTTCATGATTTGGCGTTTCGATTTCGACCCCATTGTAGCAGCTGTAATGAACTTGTTGATCCATGATGCTATGCCCTGACAATTCTTCGGGGTAAAGAGTGGTAGCTGAAAGTGTCGGCAGTGTTCTCTGCCCACAACCTTTGGCAACCACCCTGTTATCCGATACCCGACTTGTTCTATCTATTCTCTGCTTTTTGCTTCCATAGCTGACCAAGTAATTTGACCATCGAATCATCCCAGCGTGATTTAAGACAACCCAATTTACGTTGGTGGTTCATCATACTTCAGTTTCTAATTCTTAGCGGCCACCCGTTAAGGTGAATCACGTAGCCGTTTCATATTCTCTTGGGGTCGTTGAAGATAGAAAGTACGACGTCTGTTAATCCACACCGTTGTCGAATTTGTTCGCTATGAACTTCATCCTGGACGAACAGGATGAAGTGCTTTTTTCGTGACCATCGCTTTGTTCTCCTGGGCGTTAGTAGCAGGCCAACATTCAGCACTGTATCATGACGGGTAGGAGGGTTAAATCAAACTGCTCTTTCTTCTTCTACATGAACACTTCGCTGTCGAGTGGCATTACTGGCACTTTCTGTCTTTCTTCTTGCTTAAAACACGGTTTTTTTTACACGAGACCAAAAATTATATACTCACTCAGATGACTGACCAATACCGACGAATCGGTTCTTGTCTTACGAACCTTCTTCAAGTGAGGAGATTGGTAAAGTTTTAAAATTTTTTCTTGTTGTCCACAGCGGTTGGTAGGTTTGAAGCGAAAAGTCAAACTTTTGGTCGTACTACTGGTTAAATGATTTCCGGGCGAAGAGGTTCGTCCGATCCGCGCATGGTTCCTGGTTCCTATTCTTTTTCTCTGTTGACATTGTCGCAGTACTGGATTATTAATGCACTTGACTTGCCTGTGCACTCGCGTCTTTCTTTGATGATAGCGATGCACCCTGTTC